CCAGACAGACAGAGAGAGACAGAGAGACAGAAAGTGAGAAATCACCCCCCAGGGGGGATGGTCATGCCGCAATCCCTTCTCCTCCATTCTCCTCTTGGGATCTTGGGCATGCACGCACACGCACCCAGAGTGAGTTTTAAGCCACCAGGTCCGGGACGCGAGCTGCGGTTCACTACATGGGAGTCCAGCAACATAGCCATTACGCTAACTGCTGGTTCCCCTATATGTGTTTCTTAAGTTTAATTCAAAATAATTTTCTTGTCTTAAGTTGTTCAGAAGTTACCAATCTTTAAATCTCTATAAGATAAGATGAAAAGAGATACTGTGGAGATACTGAGGAGAATGGAGGAGAGGGGATTGTAGCATGGCTATCCCCCCTGGGGGTGATTTCTCGCTTTCTATCTCTCTGTCCCTCTCTGTCTTTCTGGCGAGCACACACGCCCTATAGCAAAATCCTCTCAAAAAAAAGATAGAAAGAGATACTTACTTTCTGCACTAATAGATGTAGATAAAGTCAGCCAAACCAAGGATGATACTGTTAATGGTATCATGGTCACATTAATTATTAACAATCACTCTTTTCTGTTCAATCTTCATCATTTTCTTTCCTTTTCAATCTTCATCCTTTCATTCCTTTTACCCTAATCAAGGAGATTATGAATCTCAAGATAGTAAGCCATGAAAACCTGTTTGAGGGAGCAGTAGACTCGAGGGGCCCTTTTGGATTCAGGCTGCAATACTCTCGGAATGCATAAAGGGCAGGAGGGCAGTTTAGCCACAGTGCGCTACAATCTGAGAAGTAAAAACAGAAGAAAGCAGAGACATATGTCACCTGCTTTCAGATTTGACTCTACATACCAAAGAGTTTACCAGTGTATAAATTTTTCAAGGACTTCTCACTGCCTCTGAGGGAAAGTCCACACACAAAGCTTCCCTTTTAATATTATTCAACCCCTGTTTCTGGCCTCTGGTCCAAGTCATCTGATAAACCTAGGAGTTCGAGCTTCACCAGGCCCAGTGTCCCTCCTCGGACTTTATATCACTGTCTCTGTGCATGTCCACTGTGCAGTCCTGGGGACCTGGTGCAAGTTTCCACCTATAGGAGAAACACAAAGTTCCACATTTGGACTTAACCCTCTGTTCCCTTTTATGTAAAACCAGAAGATAGGAAAACTGTAGGAAAGGGTGGATTAATGAAGGAAATATGAAAAAGCTTCCACAGAAGTAGGCACATAATAAAACCTCAGTTGTTAGCATTCTTAAAAGCCTTCTCTAACTTTCCCAGGTAGAATTGCTTTTCTTTGTGCCTTTATTTATTTATGTATATATTTAATTATTTATTTATCTTTGAGGTTTTTACCATAGGCACATGCACTTGCCAGAGAGAGACAGTGAGAAGGAAAGTGAGAAATCACTCCCCAGAGGGTATGGCCATGCCATGATCTCCTCTCCTCCATGTTCCTCTTGGGATTTTGGGCACATCTGCACCCGTTCCTGGCATAATTTTTAAGTCACCAGTTCTGGGACTCAGACCACAGTCAGCTATGCGGAAGCACCTTAACCAGCATGCTACCTGCTGGCCCCACTTATATATGCCTTTATAAAATGTTGAATCTGCCTGTATTATAACCTTTGAGTTACACAGTTATTGGTTAATATATGTAAGGCAACCTGCTTCTGGCAGAGATCAACACTAGCTCTCACATTTCTGTTTTCAGTATCTGCCACACCGTAGTTAGTACACCAATGGAATATTCTCTTCTGTCAAGTTTTGAATCTCCATATACCCCACATACCTCACTTTAAGAACACAGGACTAATAACAATCACTCTTTCCTGTTCAATCTTCATCCTTTCATTCCTTTTACCCTAATCAAGGAGATTATGAATCTCAAGATAGTAAGCCATGAAAACCTGTTTGAGGGAGCAGTAGACTCGAGGGGCCCTTTTGGATTCAGGCTGCAATACTCTCGGAATGCATAAAGGGCAGGAGGGCAGTTTAGCCACAGTGCGCTACAATCTGAGAAGTAAAAACAGAAGAAAGCAGAGACATATGTCACCTGCTTTCAGATTTGACTCTACATACCAAAGAGTTTACCAGTGTATAAATTTTTCAAGGACTTCTCACTGCCTCTGAGGGAAAGTCCACACACAAAGCTTCCCTTTTAATATTATTCAACCCCTGTTTCTGGCCTCTGGTCCAAGTCATCTGATAAACCTAGGAGTTCGAGCTTCACCAGGCCCAGTGTCCCTCCTCGGACTTTATATCACTGTCTCTGTGCATGTCCACTGTGCAGTCCTGGGGACCTGGTGCAAGTTTCCACCTATAGGAGAAACACAAAGTTCCACATTTGGACTTAACCCTCTGTTCCCTTTTATGTAAAACCAGAAGATAGGAAAACTGTAGGAAAGGGTGGATTAATGAAGGAAATATGAAAAAGCTTCCACAGAAGTAGGCACATAATAAAACCTCAGTTGTTAGCATTCTTAAAAGCCTTCTCTAACTTTCCCAGGTAGAATTGCTTTTCTTTGTGCCTTTATTTATTTATGTATATATTTAATTATTTATTTATCTTTGAGGTTTTTACCATAGGCACATGCACTTGCCAAAGAGAGACAGTGAGAAGGAAAGTGAGAAATCACTCCCCAGAGGGTATGGCCATGCCATGATCTCCTCTCCTCCATGTTCCTCTTGGGATTTTGGGCACATCTGCACCCGTTCCTGGCATAATTTTCAAGTCACCAGTTCTGGGACTCAGACCACAGTCAGCTATGTGGAAGCACCTTAACCAGCATGCTACCTGCTGGCCCCACTTATATATGCCTTTATAAAATGTTGAATCTGCCTGTATTATAACCTTTGAGTTACACAGTTATTGGTTAATATATGTAAGGCAACCTGCTTCTGGCAGAGATCAACACTAGCTCTCACATTTCTGTTTTCAGTATCTGCCACACCGTAGTTAGTACACCAATGGAATATTCTCTTCTGTCAAGTTTTGAATCTCCATATACCCCACATACCTCACTTTAAGAACACAGGACTAAACTGGCTATTGATGAAGCTAGTGGTTCTCAATATTTAGCCTGCATCAAAACTCCCTAGGAGGCTTGATGAAACACAGATTGCCCAATCTCACCCATGTCAAGAGCTCATTTCAATAATAAAAATTTAGATCATAATAATAAACTCACCAGTGAGGCCTGAGAATTTGTAGTTTTGACAAGTTCTTGGGTGATGCTGATATTGCCAGTTGGGGTAGAAGTGGGAAAATATATTTTAAGAACTATCAAACTACAGTTTTAAGCCATAAATTGTATCTCCT